TGAATCTATTTAACTTTACGTTCTACCTTGTTAAATGTTAAAACGATGAAAATGTTTCTCTTTCGTTTTCCAAATTCTTTTAACCAGCCCTAGCAAAGGTTTTACCCTTCTTCACTGACTTATATTTCAAATCTATGGTGCGTTTCCTATAAACAACGACGATCATCATGATGACGATGGTTTTTATGAATTATTGTTATGAAAAAGATATTTGTTCAGTAAAATAGTAAAGATTTGCCCCGGGGTATTTCAAGTATTTTACCCCGGGGCAAGGGGTGAAAAAAATCGCTAAAATACGCCGGGGTGGACACTCTAGTAATAACTTGACAAGTAAAATAGTTACCCATTTTCTATTTTTAATTGTTAAAAAAAATTTAATTTCGGTGCCTAAAACTTACTTTTCAATTACTATGGTTAAAATGAAATGTGTGTTACCGCACTAATCGAATATTGGTTATAAAAAAATTTAAGCGCACTAAATGAAAACGCATTAATCGAGGGATCCCTATATAATTACTATATATTCTATTAAAACAGAATAGCAACGGACTCGGGAAGCTTGTTAGAAGTAACTCGAGAACTACGGATAAATACGGAAGCAGCCGCGCTTGATTCCACATCACCGTCTAATAAATAACCGCAAGCTTTAAAGCTGCCAAATTTGATCCCACTTCTAAAGCCTTCTAAACGTTATCTTTGACCGTTACCACAATCTTTAATAAACAAACGCAGCACGATCTGTGAGCAGCTTTATTTCACACCACCACACAATATACAAAAAAATTCAAGGAGATTTTTGAGGAAGCCGTGTTTGATTATTGTAACCACTTTTTACTGATAATTTATGTGTAATTTTAGAATAACCCATGTTTGATCTCTCCAAATCTAGCCTTGAGTTGGATACAACTACTTTTTTACACAACACAATTCAAAGGGACGTCATACTCTCTTATGGAACGTTAACTCATATTTAGGAGTAATCGTACAGCTACATAACATATGAGCTGTTGAAATAACAGTATCAAAAAGGTGAAATACTGTTAACACTTGGAGACTAATTATAAATTAGATTTACGACCACTTTGAGACTGTATCTGTGAACTTTAGTAAATTGATTATTCTATATGATTATTGATGTATTAAAGCTGAGTCTAAAGGAACTATTTTCTGACGGAAAGTTCTAACCGCACAGTTTACTAAAATGATACATTTTCAAGTAATTTTGAAGGCAATATTGCTAGAATTAATAAGAACTAAACACACTTAAAAAAATCATGATATTGCAATTAAACTATTCTTGTAACATGTTTTTGCACATTTAACAAGGTAGAACGTAAAGTTAAATAGATTGAGAGAAGAAAGATCTGAAGAAATCGTTGGCTACGAGTTTAATCGCTTTTTTTAATTTTCTTTAATCGCTCTAATTCACATAGATTTGAGCTCACTAAAGATTTTTATTATTATAATGCTTTAAACTTAATAAAAATGACGTCTTATAGAGGTATTTTGAAAGTGACGTATGAGTATTCGATTAGACTTAAATTCTGTAACATGTGTTTTTTTTTGTACTGTGAGATTTTCCAGATCTGTTTACTTTTACGACAAGCTTGAACAAAAAAGTGATAAAACTTTGTGAGCCTTGTTATTTGTTCGATATTTTTTAAATACGATTTATAAATCAATAAAAATCTTAATCACATATCTTTTATTTCAAATATTTTTTACCCCGGGTTAATTTTTTTTTTCACGGGGAACCC